AGATGCACCTAGAATTCACCTTGTTGACCAGCCTTACTTTTCCTTTTCTTTTTCAGTTAGAGGGTGACTAGCTTTGGAGGCCTTAGGTTTCATTTTTCCTCCTTGAAATTTGGAACAGTTCTCTTCCTCCCACTTCTTTTCTTTGGGAAGGGATGGGGAACAAGAACAATCCTTTGCTCTCCTTGCCTTTGACCGCTCAGGGATGTAATGACAAAGCACAGATTATGCAGTTAAGGCAGAAAATGTACAAGAAAAGTAATGTACCACATTTTCCTGTACAGGTTATACTCTCCTGACAGAAACAGTGAGTATAGTGAACATATATTTTACAATCCTTGGAAAATCAGTGCTGCATCTTTTAATAAGCAAGGTCCTTTGTCATAATGTTTTGTGGCATAAGAACCATGTATTTGTAAAAAGGACCGAATCATCTTGGTACTTCTAATTCTTTAGCATCACATTAAGAAACCTGTTTTATTTAAACTGTTCTTCAGTGAGAATTTATTTGGGCCAGAAACTCTTGGCCCTTTTTAGAAATCGTGTGTATCTATACATATGTCCCTCTCTTCCCATCCACACAAGCACTTGGCTTCTTTACAGACTTGCAAAGAAAGGAGATTCTTTGACTGATTAGCCAGAACTAAGTTATTGACTGGCCTTTTACTTTGCAATTAAAGATCAGATTTGGAGGTTATATACATCATTTGTTCACCTTAAAGTTTGGATCAATCTTTCTTTTCTTTCCGGTGTTTTTGCACACGTGTGTGTACCTGCTTTTTGACGGAGGGAGATGAGGAGTGCTGTGTTTGCTCTCCTTTCTGCAGTTCTGGTACCTGATGGCTAAATTAGATTACAGGGTCCCCATTTGGATAATCACCCAAGATGGGTAGAAGTTCATTGCCCCATGATAAACATTAATTGAAAAGGGATTGGGAAGTCTGTTCTCCTAAAGGAAGTAGTAAATGGGACTGGGTGTTTGGTGCCAAAAGAAGGCATAAACCTTCTCTTTTTTATCTCATTATTTTTTATGTTAGGGAAAGGCAGTTATGTCCTGGTCCTAATGCTAGGACCAGGTTAACGGGGTTATGCGGCTGACAGCAACTGTTTGTGGCTGTTGTTGCTAGGATATTCTGGTGTCCTTTTTGTTGCATTGCTAAAGCTGGTACTTAACAGGAAGGCGGAAATATCCTCTGTGATAACTGTGCATCACAGAAAAGGCTTACTTTCTACCTGTCTACTTCAGTCCTTGTTGTTCAGTTGCAATAACCAAAAGAGAAAGTTTGATAATCAAGTGAAATAAAATAATTAAGCTGTAGTTTTTCCATAATGCTCATAAATTTTACCTTAAGAATATATGTGCTTTTGAAAAAGAATAAATTTATCTAGAGTCTAGATTTACCAATAAATTTAGATAAAACAGGTGTAACGGTCTTGCCTAATGGGGTGTCTTTATACATAATAAGGCTATTTGTCATATCCTTGATAACCTAACCTTTGTTAACTGCTTAGAAACTATCAACAGAGAAGCCAGAGGCTCCATTGTAACCCGGATACCTTCTAGCCAGCTCCTGCTTTATCCATTACTAAATTGCTAAACAAAAAAAAAAAGAGTAAAGAAGGAATTGTTTAAACTCATTATCAGAATTAAATGGTCTTTAGTAACAAATCCAAAAAAAGACTAGAAATGAAAAAATTAGAAATATCTTATTTCCTTCCTTAAATATTATGACAAACGTTGCCAGAAGGGTAATCTAATTTGTTTTTATAAATAGGGTTTACACAATATTTTTCATGTCTTTATTTACATAGCATGGTTCAAATTCAAGTAAACGGTCAGTATTTCAGCAACAAGTAGAAGAGCACCTATTTTTACATCTTAAAAAAAACTGTACGCAATACATTATTTTCTTTAATTCTTTCCTTGCTGTAAATCTTTTTGTGATTGTCTAACTGAAGATCTCTTTTGTTTGTTTTCATTTTGGAACCTTTTAATTCTGCTAATGCTTTAGGTATTTTATTCCTTTATCCAGTAACTTTTAAAAGCAAGTTAGTAACGAATCAGGAATTGGCAAGTATTGTGATTGCAGTATATTCTCTGGCATCCCTGTAGATAGCGTGGTAATACTCATAAGCAAAATAAGTGATAGATACACAAACTTGAAAATTCTGGTTTGTGGTGACGAAGACCACAGTCATCTTTTCGTATTACACATATTATGTTCCTGGCTGTGGCTATAAGATAGTTGCAAACTCCTTCCTAATGTTGGTGAGCAGCAGTTTCTAACTTTTCCAAAAGGATAAATGAATATCCAAAAGGATACACGAATGCTTCTGGTTATTGTAAAGTGCTGCAGATTCTTGCTGGCTCTGGCAAAACTGGGAAGAAATTGCAGCACTGTGTAAGCAACAAGGTTTGTGTGTACATATGGCAATAATGTGAAGACACGGGGGGAGAAGACATTTTGGCTAGCATTGAGGCTAAAGCCCTCTTCCTCTCCACCTTCCCTGTAAACTGACACCTACAAGACAGTATAGGTATAACGTTTAACAGCCATTCCTTTTGCAACTAAACACTAGGAAAGTAATTGACTTCATAAGCAAAAATTTACTCTTTCTTTTCTGTTTGAGATGCTTTTTTTTTGTATAGCAAGGCAGACTACATGTTAAATGTCGCGCTGAGATTATATATTGCCAGTTATTTTCAGCTGTGAATTTCATAGAGTGTATTAAATTATTAAGATACATCAGTTTAACCAGTAGCCTTCTAGGGTACTAAATCTGAAAACAAATAAGCAGAGTTTAATTTGGAAACTCTCCCTTTTATTTATCTCTGAGAAGGGTCATATCTTAATGTTTTCTGACATTGAGTATTTCAAAACTTGAAATTATTATGACTATATGACTTTTTTGATTGCAGATGTTTATAAAAAATATATCATTGGAGGGTTGGGTTTGGGTTGATACTGGTTTCTTGAATGAAACTCAGAATTCTGAGTTAAAGCAATGGTGTAAAAGACAGATGTTTGCAACTCTTGTGCTTCTCAGAAAAGTTGTCTTCTCTCCTGTGCAAAAGTATGAAAGCAAGTTTATTTGGGTTTATTTAGGTATTCATTACTAAAATACATTTGGATAACATTTTTGGCTCTTACTAAAGTAACAGAAATAGTTTCATTAATGTTTGGACCAGGTGATTTTTCGAGGTCCCTTCCAACCTGGGCTGTTACCAGACACATAAAACGATTGGAGCACGTAAGAATATTTTTAGAGGCAAAATTTTCAAAATAACATGTCATATTTCCCAAGAAGTACACAAAAAAGTTTGAATCCACAACCCTTGATGGTAATCAGTGAGACCAGAAGGAAACGCCAAAGCTAGAAAAGATAGAAGAGCTTGAACTCTCAGCTGCAGTGAGGAACCTACATCAAGTCTGGACACACAAGCCAGTATGCATTATGGGATTTAAGGAAACAGTATGTGTCTTTTAAAAGTGAGCAACTGGCTTGCTTTTTTAAAGTAAAAATTAGGACTTTCTGTCCTTTGTATGTGTTAGCCTGTGGACTGGAGAGCATGGCTGGGATGGACATCTAAAGAAGTGCTTTGGACATGCAGGAACTGGACCTTCTAAGACTTTGATGACATGATTTGCTGAACTTTCATTTGGTTTTAAGTATGCTTAAATACATTTTTAGCCACCAGTTTGCTGCTTTTTTTTTTAATCTTGTACTTTCTAAATAATACATAAAATAGATTCTACCTCACAATTCTGCTGTCATGCAAATAAAGCAGTAATAACACCTGTAGTATATGGATATAAAATGGAACTGTAGCATTAGCAGAATGTATGTTATGCTCTGGTGCTGTATCAGAAAAAAAAATACTAAAAAAAAACCAAAACAAATTAACTACATGAACTTTTTAATTGTGAAAATGTTGTCTCTCTCATTTTTTGTTGGTTTTGATTGTTGTAGCAGTTGTATGTATGAAAGTTTCCAGTAATAGAAGGTCAACTCTATTCATCAGTGTCGTGGTTTAACCCCAGCCAGCAACTAAGCACCACACAGCTGCTCACTCACTCCCCCCCCAGTGGGATGGGGGAGAAAATCGGGAAAAGAAGTAAAACTCCTGGGTTGAGATAAGAACGGTTTAATAGAACAGAAGAGTAGGAGCTAATAATGATAATGATAACACTAATCAAATGACAACAGCAATAATGAAAGGATTGGAATATACAAATGATGCACAGTGCAATTGCTCACTACCCGCCGATCGATGCCCCGTTAGTCCCCGAGCAGCAATTCACCCCGCCTCCACTCCCCCCAGTTCCTATACTAGACGTGACATCCCATGGTATGGAACACTCTGTTGGCCAGTTTGGGTCAGCTGCCCTGGATGTGTCCTGTGCCAACTTCTTGTGCTCCTCCAGCCTTCTTGCTCGCTGGGCATCAGAAGCTGAAAAAACCTCGACTTTAGTCTAAACACTACTTAGCAACAACTGAAAACATCAGTGTTATCAACATTCTTCTCATACCTAGCTCAAAAACATAGCACTATACCAGCTACTAGGAAGACAATTAACTCTATCCCAGCTGAAACCAGGACAATCAGGGCATTGATTAGATATACTTGGAATAACAATTGTGTAGATCTTTGTCAGATATAGAAGATTAGTACTTTGCTGTAATGGTTTCAGCTTTAAGTTGATACATTAAATCATTAATCTTCTAGATGTAAGTGAGCCTGACATAATTAAGTTATCTTAATCCCTAGAGATTTCAGATTTCACTAAATGTCTGAGCACTGAACTGGTTAAGATGAAGCAATCACAACTGCTTATAATGTCAACTTTATTCAGAGAAGTTTGAGCTTTTTCTTTTATGACACTTTTTTCTATATGACACTTGCGGACTGAAAGCTGCATCTGCTTATTTTTAATACAGCTGTTAGAGACATATAGGAGAGTATTAAAATATGTTACTAAACTATTTCTTCTTACCAACAGTAATATGAACAGTGCATACTCAAGGCTGCTTCAGTCCATTCAGAGGATCATTTACCAGGAAGGGTTTGATGGCTCTGATCCCCAGGTACTGAAGACCCTCATACTCTTCTATAATCCTCTAAATAATGTTGTTTTCTGAATTTTCAAGGGTGGCACAAGGAGGCCTTGGACAAAGTAACAAGGAACAAGCTGTTTCTACGCATTGCTAAAGTAAACAAGTGAAGTAAATAGAGAGTGTGGTTCATATTTTAATGTGCATTTGGAGTTTTTGCCTGTTACAGATATGCAGACCATGTGAGAAAGAACTGTAAGCCAACATCAGTAAAATGCATATTCTGTGCAGTTAGCTAATAAACGGATTACCAAATATAATGTAATTAAACAAAACATATTTTCGCCTGCAGTATTTTTTTCAAGCTATTGCTTTAGCAATTATGTGTTCAAAACTCTTGAGACTGAACATTTAATCTTAAACTTTCAGATTTTTTACATCTTGTTTTAACTGGAGTAGAGTGACTTTTTTAATGAATTAAATGGTGTGCATCTTTATGTAGCGAGCATTAAAACACAAGTAAAGAAGTAAGATTGCTATTTCAACTTACAAATCAAAAAACCTTACCAGACTTCTAAAGATCTCTGTACTCTTCATAAATCATACTGTGGGTAATCAAAAATATTTTAAGCATAACAACATAGGCTGAAAGCCCTTTTTTAATCTGAGCAGTGCCCTATCTATTATTCTTTGCCATATTCAGTAATATGTGAGTCTTCTGGAGTTGATGGAAATAATAAATAGTATATATTAATGCTTAATTGATAGGTAATTATTTTTGTGCAATAGAAATGTTACTACAGTAGCAGTTAATTAGTATAGATGCTGGAGAGCCTCAAAGAATATAATACAAGACTGTGTAGTATTACCAGTTGAGTATCTTAGAAATCATTTTTGTTGGGAAGATAATGTTGGAATGGATGTTTTCATGTCTAACAATATGTTTTAGAAACATTACCTGCACACAACACTTGTGTGTAAATTTAGGTTATTTGTGCTCAGTGTTTAGTCTCTGCTGAGATTTATGGGGGAGTTTGCCTTCCCTTTGGTGGCAGCGCCAGTCTGGAGAAGTAAATTGGTCCCTGACAGGCACCTCTCCCCACTCGCTGTGGTAGCCATGGCAACAGACATGTCATCTTACCATACAGCACCATGTGCAGAGATGCTCCTCCTGCACGGTGACAGGTCTTGTGGAAGCCCGAGAGCTTGCCGGCTGCAAAGAGCCGCGCCGAGTGAAACAAGCACCCTGCCAACCTTCAGCCAGCAAAAAACCTCCTACTGAAGAGATTAGGCTGGTGTTTCTTATTTTTCTTTGTGTATTCCTGAACTTTTTTTTACATGTAAAAGAAAATGAAGGCTGGTCAGAGCCAATATTTTGGGGTTCTTTGCTTGCAAGCAGGGAAAAATCAAACATCATGCATGGATAGTTATTTTCTGCACCTGTTGTTCATTGTTTCAAAAAGTCATACTACTGTCAGTAAAGCAAAACTAGAACTTTAACTCAGATGAATTTAAAAGTATACATTTGCTAAATGACGTATTTACATTTCTGAGGTGAAGCTTTAAAAGTTAGAAAAAGAGTCCTTTTTCAGACCAGTTTATCCATCTAGAAAGCCATTAGCACTTGTGTAGTTGTTTCTTTTCCAAGGGAGATGATGCATATGATTTCCTGGAGCAGTTTCTGTTACTTTCTTTTAAGATTCCTCTTTTCGCCATGCATCATCTTTCTTTGTATGCTCAGATTTGTACATTTAGAAGCAGTATATAATACACACTTGTAAAAATATGTCCAGATTTGAATGTAGTAACAGCCCAGAACACGCCTTGGATCTTTTTATCTTGCAAATCTATGAGAAATTCACCTCTCTGCTACTCCATATCCCCTTCTATTTACTGAGCCTTCAGAAGTACTTTTTAAGTAGCCAGATATGAAGATTGTAGTAGAGTAAGGACCAGCCTGTATTCCTCTGGACTTGTGTCCTTTCCTGTATATAATAATAATAATACAATCTTCTGAGAAGTTTGTGCATGTATGCTCTTCCCCTCCAAATAATCCTCTCCCCTTTGGGTGAGTGCTATTGGCAGTGGCTTTCATGAAGTTCGGAGAAAACTGCAAGGGCCAAAATGTAGCAGGGAGATGCTGAACTTTCAAGAGATTTACTTACTGACTTTAAGTAGATCCGTTAATCATTGTCTGTGAATAACAGAAGCTGATGCCGTTAATGCTTCATTTTTTGTACTGTGAAGTATAACCCTTCCAAAATTTCTAGACTATGGAGGCTTGTTGGATCTGGAGTCAAAAAGTTTAACCTGACTGGTAAAACTTTCAGATATTTTTGGCTACTTTAACATCAATATGCCAATGATACTTAGACTTACTACTCCTTTTCACCATTTGAAGAGGAATCTGGAGAAAAGTGAGCAGAATGCGACTCACCCCAGCTGACAGAGGTTTGACATGGTTAGGAAAATCAGTGAAAACTACCATTAGAAGTTTAGTAGACCTCTGATAGAGGTCAGGCATCTCTAGGATGTAGTATGGTTAATTAACATTAGTTTTATAGAACCATCTGCTGATGACCATCATAGACTAATATTTCTTGACTGCCCTGCATGAATTTGTGGGCCTTAGGACAATAATTCCTGTTTGAGGTATTAGGCTACAGAAAAGTTTGGCTGAAGTTCACCAAACAAATTACCTGTTTGTTCACACCAACTGGAACATTTTTGCCAAGATCTATCCAGAAATTGAGGGTCTGAATGACCTACAACCTAGAAATACGAGCATCAGTTTTACATCCTTTCTAAAACCTCCTAGTAACTATTTGCTGATGATCATTAAGTATAAATCCTTTATAAACTGAACATGGTTTTAAGTCATACAGAATAGCACTTGTTTGTTTCAGAATATTTGGGGGGTTTCATGTTTGATAACAGCACTTCCATAGGCAACTATATTTCCTTAACATTCTTTGATATACTTCGGAGCTCAAGTTGGCTGACTTTCAGGGTAATAAAGTTGGGGGGGATTGGGCTTTTGTTTGCTTGGAGCTGGGTTTTTGCTGCCAAAGCAAACATTGTTACAAAAATTACAGGAAAAGGGTAAAAAATAAAAATCCAAACTTCCGAACTAGTGAGAGTATAAAAGATCTAGTGGTATATCTAAAAAAATGTTATCCTACTCTTTACTGCAAGCTTGTTGTTATATAATATTAGACTTATGCTTTTCTTCTATTACAGTTATAGAATAAGCCATTTGTCAGGGCCTTGTGGGCCTGACAGAATTATTCTCGTAGAAATTCTGTTACTGGCCAAAATAAATACATCTGATATTATCTGGTGTTTTAATATCTTTATCTTTTACAACTCTTATGATTTAATGTTGTGAAACAAGCATCTGTAATCCTTTATCCAATAAGAGAACTGATACTCTGATACAGTTTTTCTCTGTTTGTATCTTGTTCTTATGGGTGTTCTTCATAAGAAAAAAATATATTTCCCATTAAAAAAGTTTCTGTAAGTTTTATGTATGTTTGCTCTGAAATGCTGAAATACCAGAACACTTTCTCTGCATGGCCAGTATCCATTATATCTGGATAAAATAGTTTTCTTAAGTGTCTGATTTTGTATTATTGCTTAAACACACATCAAGAAAAGCATGAGTCTGCACTTATTAGAAGTCACTAAAGAATATTAGACTAGCTTCTATTTTTCCTATTCTTTTTAAAACTCTGAACATCTGAGCCTAACGAATATCATACATAGAAGTCAGATTGCATCGTATTATCCTGTGCTATTATCCTTATCTTCATAGTAGTGTAAGAAGTTAACTTTACAGAAGTAAAGCCTAAAAGGCTGCAAAACATATATCGCTTTCACAAAGCTTGTAAGTGAATTGGCAGATTAGCTCACTGTCTAAGCCATGAGAGTTGGATAAATGCAGAGCCATGTGGTACTAACTGTGTTTCACAACTCAGGCTCTGTCTACCCAATATGGAGAAGGAAGTCTTTATAAGAGTAGCCTCTTGTCTTGTCAAAACCTTTCCTCTGGATTTCCAGAGCAGCTGTGCAATGTTTTGTGCTTGATAGTTACTGTTCATTCCAGCTGGTGGAAATGAATATCTACAGTTTATCAAAGCACTTTGCTGTAATGAAAAGTACCTGGAAGCTTTTATTTATCTAAACTAGTGTTTTTTATATATATATATATATATAAAAAATTAAAAAAAAAAAAAAAAAGCTGGCCTTTAAGTATGAACCCTGAACTCTAGGAATGTATCTTCGATCACCTTGTACAGGAAGTCTTTCAACAAGGGTGCTTATTGTCTCTCTCTCAGCTGTTAATAGCAAATATACCTAAAATCCTTCTCAAAGATCACCAGGAAAGGTCACATCAAATAAGCAGAAATGAGATTTGTCATCATGAGACATGACATTTGACTTTATGTAAACAAATTGCAACTCCGGCTTCATAATCTGCTCCTTCAGAAAAGGGGCTTTATCTTAGCCACTGCCTCTGTTGGATGCTTTTCTGCCAGCGTACTGCAGGGCAGCAAACAGTCTTTAGGTAGGTAACACATGAGGCTGCTTAGCATTTTACATGTCAAAACAGCTTAGATTCTAGTAGCCAGTAGCTAACTAAAGCAGATCCAGAAACACTCATGTCAAGGACTTTCAGAAAGGTGTAGTCCTTAAGAGACAATCTACTGATGTCTCCATCAGCCTCTGTTTCTCCCTAGTTGTGGGTAAACCTTCCTTCATTAGTTGGGAGGAGTTGGCAGGAGTGTAGGTGATCCTTAGCAACTTCTACAAGAGTGAAAGGGCCATGCGTTGGTGAGGTAGGCCACCGACCTTGCTCATTTAGAAGTAGCAGAAAAAGTGAAACTGAAGCTAACAATCAGCATAGTCAGGTTATGAGAGTAGCACAGCGGAAAGTTGAAAATAGAGGGAAAAGTTGTGTTTGATTACTGTCAGGCCCCTCCAGCAGACCAGTTTAGAGCTGGTCGTTTGCACATGTTTTAAGGCAGTGATGGTGGAGAGAAAGGACATGAAAAATCATAGTATTGTTGGATTTTGTGTCAGAATATACTTACATTTAGCTGGTTAAAAAATACAGGTTAGTAGTTTTCAGTATTTCCGTGCTGTCTCTTACACTTGTACTTGCTTATCTGGCATAGCTTGATATCTAGTCAGTGAAAAAAATGCCCTTCCGTTTGTAATTTTTATGAGATCACCTGAGATTAAGCTATGATTACGTAAACTATGTCATTATTATGGATATGAATTCTATAAATTGTATTTTTTTAATACATTACATGACATTTTCCTCCTAATGTTTAAAAAATAACAAGTGGCTTTTTTTTCTTTTTTTTCAACAGAAGAAACTAAAGAATATTTTGCGGATAGGAATTCAGAGTCTGGGTTCCATGTTGTGGGGTGATGACATTTGTAGCAGTGATACTCCTGAACATATTCATAGCCTTACAAAATTCCTGTATGTTCTCCGTGGCCTTCTCAGAAAATCTTTGTCAGCCTGCATCATCACAGTGCCCGCTCACCTTATCCAGGTAGGAATACTGTCTTTGCTATATTTCATAGCTGACACATCAGTTAGTTAGCAAAAATCTAAAGTTTGTGGTAAGAAAATAAATGCAATTTTGGACATTTTGAAAACTTTTTTTTTCTCAAAGGGCAAAGATAAAACATAACTTCACTGTTAGTGTTTCTATACTTTCACGGGACAGTCGTGCTGCAAAATCTACAAAGACCTACGCATAAAACCATCTTAGATACAGTTTTGCCTTATATGGGTCTTAGTCTTTTTTGAAAAACTATCAAAATTTCAGAAACTGTAAAAAAGCAAAGAGAATCCTGCTAGTAATCTCTTCCTTAGGTTTTTTTTTTTTTTTACAACATCCCTACACACTTTTCCACTGCTATCAGAATGCTGTTTAGTTTCAATACAAGACATTTCAGTCCACTGTGTTCATCTGTCATACTCATTATGATGATGTGTGATGTTGTTTTTAAAGCCAGGAATTGAAAGATACGGTTTTATACTTTAATTCTAATACCCCCTTGTATTGGGACCGGGAGCAAACTGGTTACGGTATCAGAGTAATTATCCCAGCTGCAATATCAGAAGCTGCTAACAGCACCTTTCCTGAGAGTATATGGAGACTTAAATGTATCTTCTGGAAATGAACTATTTTAGCAAAAGGAAAAACATACATAGTCTTTTTTTCTGCAAGTGGTAATGTAACTTACAAAAGCAAAATTATTATTCACAATGAACAATGAACCTATAATTTTAGATATTAATTTGATTTGACTATAGTAAAAAAGTAGTGGATAAAACCTCATAGTATGCAAAATATTTTCACAGTAGATGAGTTTATCACTAGATAAATCCTATCTTAGGTAAGTACATGACTCTCACTTATGTATTGCATTTTGTAAAGGTGTTTGAATACCTGCAAGTTTTATTTATCTAGATACCTGATGCACTTACTGCTTCAAAAATAAAGAAAGAAATTTAATTTTCTGGTTTTACCATTGCAATCAAAAGTCTATGAATATTCCTCTTGCAGTGCAAGCCTCCATCTACTTACTTAGCTTCTTTTAAATATTAGATGGCAGTTTGCCTTCAAAAAGATTGACAGTAAAATTTAATGCAACGAATAGAATTTGTGGATGTGAAACTAGCATCCTTCTTTTTACTCATTAGAATTACCTGTCCATAATTGGGACACACAATCAGTTTCATTGTATTCTTTTTTATATATTATGTCAATGAAAGGTACAATCATATTTTAGACAAGTCCAGAAAGGTCTCTAAGACACAAACTGAAGGACGAAGTTTTTTGTTTGTTGCAAGCTTATCTGGGAAGTTGATTTAGGTTTTGTGTTTATAAATTCCATATAAATCAATTCCCATGGAGTTAGGTTTGAAATTATATCTCATTTTTTAAATAGCTGATTTTTTAATTTTAACAGAATTGTTTTACAGTAAGTGCTAGAATATTCTGAATAAAAAAGAAACATTATTTCCAGAATCTTTGCATAGCAGCCTTAAACAAATGAGAGCATTAATTTTTTTTTGAATTGTTAAACTTCATGTATCCTTCTTTAAGCACTAAACTCTGGAGAAAACTGTCATTAGGAGGAGCAAAGCTGCTGAGGGTTCCTTATACCCCACATTACTCAGTTCCCAGAGCCCTGCTGTGTAGTTGTTCCACTCTCCAAGAAGCCTGTTAAAGAGCCCCTGAGAGCATGTGTACAGCCCTCCATGTTAATAGTTAATTGGTGAGGATGGCAAGATGAGAGGACAGCCGAACATGTGGTCTCTCAGGCTCAAGCCGTAGACAGACCTTTAGTTATAATAACAGCAGCTGCTCACATTCTCACAACCCAGCTACTCACCATTCTGTTGCTGAGGTTTCTTTCTGGATTAAAAAAGTAAAGAAAATATCTTTTCTTTCCAAAAGAATAAGAGAGAGGGATTTTTTTTTTCCAAGTGCATTTCTGTATATGTATTTAATTTGATCAGAGTAAGTTCTAGCATATGCTTTCTCTGTTGAATCTTAAAGTCAGTACACTGAAGGCATAGAAAATGCGTGCTATTTTTCTGAAGATGTAGTAAATTCCACATTTATTCCCTGAACTACTGTTTCTGTATTTTCTATGTTATCTTTTGCCTCCCAACTGTATTAATTAGGTGGTCTGCAAGTAAATTCTTCACATGAATAATTTCCATGAAGGTAAATATAAGTTCAAAATCACATTTTAATCAAGGTTTTGTCTGCGTAACATATACAGAAAAATAGATTCATTTTTACCTGCTTTGTCTTGAAAAAATAGATTTTTAGTGATGATTCATGCCATATCTTGTCTATATCAGCCCTCAGTACTAGTTGCTCCAGTGAAGAAGAAATAAAACTCACAATTGGTAGTACTGTTTTTAACAGGGACGATGTCTTTCCAACCCAGACTAGTTACATTTTTTTATATGTAGTATATGAATAAGGTATATATATGGAATGTGTATATATATATATATATATAATTTGAGATTGGTTTCTTTTATATATTTTGCCAAATACTTTGCATGTTGTACTGTGACAGGGAGTTCCACAAATTAAATCTACCTGGTTTCTTTCTTTTTCAGAAAGTTTAATTTGGCGTTACTTCTAATAAATTGTATCTTTGGTTTTGGCTGATGAGACAGTAAGATGATGCTCCCTATTTTATCTTTTCTATATTCTGATAGTTTTGTATTTTTTCTCATGCTGCCTCCTTAATCTGTTTTTAAACAGTCACTTTTCTTTTAATCATATTTTACTTTGTTACAGTAACATAATACAATAAAGCTATTATTGTTTGTTCACTTTTCCTACATTCTAATGCCTGCTTTGTCTCTTTGATGACTACTGAACATTAAACAGTGGATTTTTCTTGATGCTTCTCCCTCTGTGGTACACATCCACCAATGTGGCTCTTTCATTATTCCAGATATTCATTGTCTTGGATTTAATAACTTTGAATTGCATTTATCCAAAGATGATGCTCATTCACCCAGTTTGATGGGACACTGAATGTCTTCACAGTCTTCTGTAAGACTATATTTTTGTAAAAGACAAAAAATCTGGCTGTGTACAGTTTTTTCAGAATAATGTAAAGAAATTGTAGTCCACTAAAGAACACTAGATTCTTTGTGTTTTATTGATGAAACTTCTAGTGCAAACAGCGCATGAAGAAAAACGAAAATTCTCTTTTCTCAACCACAAAAATAGGAATACATTATTCTGGAAGAGGTTTTCAAGAAAATGACACTAAAAACTTATCCAATTATGAATTTTATTCAGATGATGTGTGACAAGTTTTACTTGATTGATATTTTCTACCGATTGAACATACTCTTATCTTACACTGTCTGTCAGGTAATAAATATTGAGATACTTACGAGTATGATTAAAATAGTTGATGGAAGGTTATTTTTCAAGTCTTTCTACTGCTTCTTGAAAATGTATTGTGTCTATGAAATCAGATGGTGCATTTGAAAAGGTAAAATTACTTCCATTTTTAAAATCTAGCATTGATCAAGGAGGGCAGACTGAAGAGGAATTTCACTTGTTGTTACACTTTCCAAATTTAAGGAATATTATAAAAAATAGGAAAGACTGTTTTTTATGTTGATAATCTGTGCATTTTAGTACCTAATTTGAAAAAAAAAAAACTTTTTGTGCTACAGAGTGTGACTTAGAGGACTTTAATGTCACTATTTTATACTTGCAAAAGACCTAAATTAGAATTTAAAATATTTTCCTATTGTATTTTCTTCTTTTTCTTTAATTACTAGAAATCACTGGTAAATCCAAAAACATCTTTCCCCCAAAATGCTAAGTAGTGTTCATAATTCTGTTCCTGTTCTTCCCAATTTTGTATCACTTAAGTAATATTTTTTTGAGTAGGTTATTATTTTCACTGGGAGAAAGTGTAATACTTTTATTAAAGCCATCCTTTATTTTGAACTTGAAGCTCTATTACTGGTAAGGACTAACAACCATATTAGTCAGCATGTACCAAGGGAAATTAATTGACTAATGAAAAGTCAGTATGAATAAGTCTTGTTACAGAACCTGTCCTCAGAGTCTGAAGTTCTCTTTAGCAAGGTATTTTCATTATTTCATCCAGTATGTTAAAAAATTAATTTCCTACAATATTAATGTTTTGATGCTTTGAATTCACTGAAGTGCATAAGTCCCTGTATGTAGTTCAGTGTAGAAAAATTCAGAAACAAACCTTTTCACATCCATAGCCTTTTGTGTTCACACTGAGTAATTTAGCAGCTAAACTCGAAGTCAAGCAATAGAGTGCTTTAGAATCCATTGCTAATATAGGATTATAAGATGTGAACTCCTATAGCTTGTGAATTTCTCACAGTTTGAAATCTTTATTCCTATGACAAGAGCTAAGAGTGATTGCCTGCCTTAGAACTCTTAACTTCTGAGAGTTCACAAGTGTAAAATGCTGAATAACCTTCAAATAAATGTATTTGATGAGATAGCCGCTGCACACGAATTTGTATTGAGATCAAATGTCATGTAGTTTCTATATCATAGTTAAGCGAGCTTTCGAAATTCTCTGCAAAATAGAAACTGTGAAGATGAAATGGTCTTTATATTTTTCTATATTGGGGGTTTTTTTACTTGCTTTTTAATGTTGCGTGTTGCTTTTTGTTGTACGTGAGAAACACAGTTTAACAGTCATACAAAAAAATATTGAGAGTCATGATTTTATGACAGGTATTCTTGGGTTATCCACATAGTTTTCAGATATGAATATTCTGGTTTGGATATTCTAGACATTTATAAAAGCACCTTTCAAATTATGATCAAGTAGGAAGCTCAGAGAAGTATACAATTCAAAATTTAAATTGTGGGACAGTAAGTAATTTTGCTTTCAATTTCTATTATTGTTGATAGTATTTGCTATAATAAAGTTGCAGAAGAAATAGAAATATTTTGTTGTTTAATAAAATAAGTTTATGGTTGCCAACAGGCTGTAT